ACATGGTATTTGTGTTCCATACAACTGAGCGAGTTAGTATGGATGTGCTGTAATGACGAGATTTCACACAAACTTGCAGATAGCTGCGCTCACTGGAAATGTTAAGGGTAGTTAAATAAATCAAATAAATTACTTCTTTATTTCTTCCTAGTTAAAAAAATAATCTACTTTCTTCACCAACTTCCATAAGAAATTTTAACCATGTCAGAATAGTAACTTCTTTAGGATGATGACTCATTCGTTTAAGGCTTCACCTAACCTTCATTAAAATTTAAAGGAAAGAGTCATTTGCACAGCACATTTTGAAAGCGTAATGTATACCATGTGATTGTAATAACTTTCAAATCATTACAACCTCTTCTTTAGCAAGTAAGTTTTACCTAAGAAGAAATCATTATAATTCATTCATTACAAAATGGTTGTTTTTCCCAATAACACTTACTAATATGAGTTAAAATGGAAATAAATGTTCACTACACCTCTGAAAGATAGGCAGGATGGAATATTTCTCAAGATAAAGTTCATCCACCTGGTTGTGTAGCTCAGTTGGTTAGAGTGTTGTCCTAATACACCAAGGTTGCAGGTTCAGTCTCAGGTCAGGGCATATTCAAGAATCAACCAAGGAATGCATAAATAAGAATAGCAAATTGATATCTGTCTTTCTGTCTCTCTCAAATCAATAAATTAAAAAAATATTTTAAAAGATAAAATTCATCTACATTCTCCCTGAAAGTTCCCAAACTTTAAGGAGTTTATGACATGCTGGCAATAGAATACTGCCTGATAGGGAAGAGCCCAGGATCACACAACAGGAGGTCTGGGGTCCCTTCCCAGGGGCACTAGTGTGACCAAGGAGAAAGCAATTCTTTTTTGCAATCTAATATAAGAATACATTCACATTCACACACACCACAAAGGTGTGCTAAAGATAAAAATGTTTAGTGGCAATAAAACTCAGAACGCCAAGCAGGTATCAATAAAATAAACAGAATATGAACAATTCAAAAACAAACAAAAAAAAATTAAGACTGTATTATATGTTCCACAATCAAAGAAAATGCCATGGCAGAACTTGGACTACAAATAAATTAATGATGAACATTAACCTAAAAGTTTACAAAGTGCCAATGAGGCTGGCAGGGTTTGTCCTTTTCCATTCCCCTTTACATCACTACCACCTAATATCACAGAAAGTGTTTTCAGTGTCAGCAGGTTTGCTTGTCATGGTTGTTGCCTATTGCAGAAGACTCTTGCAAAACCATAAACTCAAACTTTGGTCAAAATTAGCCCAATTTAAGGGAGAGGGAGAGGGAGAGGGGGAGGGGGAGGGGGAGAAAATTTATCATATCCATTTATTTCAACATTGTGAGACCTGGAAGAGAGGAACCCAGCTATGCTGTGTGACCAACAGGAACTGTAAGATAATAAACAGGCAGTGCTTTAAGCCATGAAGCGTGCAGTAATTTGTTACAAAGCAACAGAAAACTAATACAATACCTGAGGTGATTTAGACAACCAAAACAAAAAACAAAAAACAAGACAGTTATAATGCCCAGGGATGAGAGCATATGACTGCTCAAGAAAGGAAAAATAATCATCATGTAGACAGGTTTTCACCATCTCAGCAAATCCTTTGACATGACGCTCATGGTATGCAATGTCCCCTCCCCTGGAAGCTCAGCCAGCCTTGGTGACTCCCTCATAACCTACAGAATGCAGTAGAAACAATGCTGAGTAACTTCCCAGGTTAAGTCAGTTTCTCCTCAGCTCCCTGCAACATTCACTCTAGAACCCATTTTACTGGTACTGGGTTTTCAGGGGAAGTACAGCTTTCCCACTTTCCATTTACTAATTACAGATTTTGTAATTACTACTGGCCCTTGTTAATATGTCATCCTTAGGGACAGGAGACAGAGCTTAGGCATTAAGGTGAGGGAATCTTCCATCACTCACCGCCTGCTGTGTGGCCTGGTCCCTAACAAGCCACAGACCAGTACCAGTCCACAGCCTGAGGGTTGAGGACCCCTGCTATAAATCATCAACCATGGATCATTTTAGTTGTTCTCTAGTTTCATCTTGAAAAAATGCTGTAGGCCTAAGAATTAAGAACATTATAAAACTTGATCTCCAATCTTTCTTTGGTGGACACTATGGCATTATTTACTACCTAGTAAATCTTCCACGTGTCTCAATTCAGTTTCAATTCTTATTTTCTATAGAAGCTACTCCAAACTCTCCTAAACTCCTCCTCATAGCAGATGACCTTGTCTTCAATTTCACTGAGAAAATGGTAGTATTTCCTGCCAACACCTACTGTTACCACTGGATGGTGGGTTGGAGCCCAGGGAGTCTCCGCCATTGGCCAGGATGGTGACAGGGAGAGGTTCTTACACTGAGCGTGGGAAAAGCCTTTCTCCCTAGGCCCCATGGTACCAGACTAGAGTTGGGACCAGGGTAAGGCAGGCACATGCACTATGGAAGTCAAAATGGTGCAGGAGGTACACTGGACCAGAGAGGCCTGTCAGTCTAGTCTGGGGAAAGAAGGGATTGGATGAGAGGTGGACCCACTGAAGCACATGAAAGTTTGGAAAGTTCATTGGTCATTTTGAGAAAGGACCTGGTCCGTCCCACACCCAAGCCAACATAGTCCCAGGTGAACAAAGAAATGCTCTCTCTTGCTCAATGCTGTAGCTCAGAACCTGCATTCATATGGTGTTTTGCCTGCTCTTTCCATGGGCTATGTGGCCTTAGCAGCCACGTGGCCTATGGTCTCCATGAGGGTGCATCTCTCACTTTCTCGCCCACCTGTAGATGCACGGCCCAGTGTGTCTGCACACTCTGTCTCCCAGGAGCATGTGACCTTGTGGTCCTAGCAGCTTCATGGCCCATGAGCTGCAGGAGGGAGCCTGAAATGGACAGCGGCTGGGAACATGTTAGGCTACCTGGAGAACCATTTAGCTGCCATCTGTGGGGTCCAAAGGACTGTTCTTTGGAATGGGGCAGGAACTCTGGACACTGGCTTTTCCGTGGTTTTGCTGAGGTCATGAGCTTTGAGACTAGAGTCCGCCATTCTCCCAGACTGTACTGCACCTGAATAAAACTTCTTTCTTGTTTCATGAGCAACAGCCTCACAAGTTTGGATTTTGTGGTGGCAGGCAGAAGAAATCCCTTTTTTGTCTGGTAACATTATTTCCATAAACTTTCTGTCTCCTGTTCAATGCTAATCTCCTACCCTGTGCTCTGGTTCCTTTGCTCTTTGGCTTATGCAGCAATCATACTCCATCAATCATTCCCTCTCTCTCCAGAGGCTTCAACTTTCCATTCCAACAATTCTTTACTCTCTTCATACATACACAATCAAAACCCATTTTAAAAACAAAGCAATAAAACAGCAAAACCAAAACTCCCTCTTCAAGCCTGACCATTCTTCTAGCTATACTTGTTCTCCTTCAAAGAGCCAAGATTCTAGGAAATTCAACCTACACTCGCTCCCTCTGCTGTTCCACTTGCATTCTCAGTGCAGCCTAATACATGCCACGCCTTCATGGAAACGATTCAAATCACTGCGACCAAGTGACCTCTGAGCTAAAAAATTCAACAAACCATTTTTATTTCTTCAACTTGACCTCACCACAGTATTTGACATTGAACAACTTCTGTCTCGAAACTCTCTTCCACTGGCTTTATATAACAGCATTGCCTCCTGATGCTCCTTCTATACTTCAGAATGCCTTCAGTTTTATTGGTCAAACCTTAAATTGTAGTATTTTCCCAGGATTCTATTCTTGGCTTTCCTCTTCTCAAACTAAACTCTCCCTAGGGAGGGGCTGGGGAATGGGAATGAATATTAACACCATGAGTTATCCCCCATATCCGTAAATCAATAAGACTAAATCTGAACTCATTTGCTTCCTCCCCCAGGCCCGCCCCACCAGTGCTTGCCTCTATTATGGCACTGCTCTGTATGTGTTGATCTGTCTGTATTCCATACCCTGGCATGTCTAGGGGATGCACACAATACACTGCTGTCAGCATCAGTGGCCCCCCAGAGCAGGGACTGGGAGAGTGGGTGGTGGCATCTTACAGGACTTAAGGAGTATGTAGTTATAAAAAGTACCCCATGTTGACTTCACTGAATTATGCTATGAATATCTTTAAGGGAAGTGGTATTTATTTACTTATCCATCCATCCATCTCTGAATCTCTGCACAGCACAGGAGCCTCACATATAGTACCCAATTCATAAGGTACTCAATTCACGTTATTTTGAATCAGAGAAGTAGAAGAGGAATGGGATATCTGAGGTAAGCTTTGAAGAACTGGTAGAATTTCAACATGTATAGGTGGAGGAGGAATCATTTAAGTCAAAGGGAATAGGCAAAGCACAGGCACAGACAAAAGTGCTGAGCTGGTAGGGTGAGTAAGTCAAATAATTATCAGTAACACAAGAATACTGAGGCACAATTTTATAAGACTTTAGGACAGAGTTGGAGATGCAGCTAGACAGGCAATGGCAAACCAGTAAAGTGTCTTAAGCAACGGGATTTGTGATTGGAAAGGAAAAGAAATAAATGGACAGAGGATGCCTCTTAAATAGCTACCAAGTGAATTACTTAAGTGAGAAGAACTGAAGTCCTGAACTATAGCAACTACCTAAACCTAAACCTAAACCACACAGAGCAACTAAAATAAAAGTGGAGGGGGAAAAAATACTGTTTTGAGATTGAAGGTAAGAACCAAACTTTTTGAATATTCAAGAACAATGAAATTAGTTGAAGTATTAAATATAAAGGAGGTAAAAAACTTAAACCACTAACATTACAATCATGAATGGTGTTGGGTACTGAAGTATGCAATACACTTATCAAGTTTATTGTGTTGGTCAGAGCTCTAACAAGGACAGGCTGACACATAGTTGGTCAACTGAAGGGCATTCTTTGTATGTTAGGAAAGGTCATTCTATAACTTCTGAGTATGGAGTTTGCAAAATATAACCATACCGTGAAGCTGTTGTTAGCATTTTTCGTGCTTGCTTCAGCCACGCTGGCATCTGAGAGGTCAACTTCATCGAATATCAGAGACTGTTAATGAAAAAGAACATAGATATATTAAATGAAAACCTAACTCAATGCTCCTCAATATATTTTTTAATTATCAGGTCATGACTATGAGATTATGTCAGGAATTAGGAATAGAAAAATGAAGAAAACTTGAGTGATACTTTGTGATAAAACCACGAAGCACAACTAACACACAAATCAGCAACGTCTCTAAACCTTGTACCTTCTAACAACTTTGCCAGGAAGACAGAGGCAGCAGCAGCAGCAGCAGCATTCCTGCACTGGCTAAGTGAGAAACAAAAAAGAACTAGTTCCGGCTGAGATCATGTCGAGTTACTAAACTTTCTGAACCTCATTTTTCTCATCTACCTAAATGTTCAAATGAGCTGATGAATGTGATCTGCAAATATAAGATGATGCATCCTTTATACTATTAAAAGTGGTTTTAATCAAAAAAGTTTCAGTGGTTAAAAACTCCACAGAAATTAAATCTTTAAAAATGTACAATTTAGAAATTGAGAAATTCTAGTAAATAAGTGTATCTTTCCCACTTTTAGTCATTTGGTCATCGTTCACACTCATTCAATGATATTTCAGCAAGGCTGTATAACAACAATGCTTCTCCAGAAGTGGAGAAAAGTGAGCCCCATTCTCTGAGAGCTTCCACCACCCCTCAAGATCTCTGGGGGTTATGCTTCAATCCAACCAATCTGATTATATGACTTGTTCTCTGACTCAAAAGAATTTATAATCTAGCATGGGTGATAAAACAGACAGAACTAATTTTAATGTGAGATGGACTATTAAAAGCAGAACAGAAGAGAAACTGCAAAATCCTATGGAAGGTCACAGATAATTTCTCCAGTAAAGAACACGTACACATTTCACTTGTAAATAATGGAATAAAGGGCACTTGAGCCAGATCTCAAAGAAAACAGGGAGTTTCACCATGTGGAAACAGAGGGAAAGTCACCAGACACTGAGAATCAGGGGCAAGGCTGACAACTGTCAGGTGGTCGGTGCTGCCTAGAGACAAAGTGAAGTCCAGGTGGAGCCAGATAAGGGACAACCCTGGACATAGCAACTCTTAAAATAAGATTTTTGGTTACTACTTCTACGGCTGCATAAACCAAGATTTAGGTTTTGTTTGTTGATTTGCTTTTACTTCCTGGTGTATAATTCTACTGATTACATCAGGAACATTCATTCTTTTATATGGAAATTATCAATTACTCAACTGACAGAGTAACAAAAAAAATCTTCAGGTTTATTTTTGAAAAACATACTAAAATATCAAGTTTAAATGGAAACTAATCGTTACAATATTTTTCTTCCAAAACTACATCATTTGTATTTTATGCAACTGTTATATAAAGATTATTTAAAGCCTTAATTTTATTTCACTATGATTTTCTTAACCACTAGCATAACTGAGTGATTATTGTGTGTCAGGTGCTAGGTAAGCACGTCAAGTCTATCATCTCATTTAAGCCTCCTCCCAAGATCACATGCTGTCCACATCCATTCCAAAGGAACATGCTGGAATTAGATAGGAACACTTGTCTGGAACCAGAGCATTAGTTCTTTTTCTTTAAATTTAATTTAATTTTATTTTAGAGAACTAATTTTAACGGAAAGGAGGGAGAAGGAGGGGGACAGAAACAATGATGTGAGAGAGTCACATCAATGGGTTGCAACTCAGGCATGTGTCCTGACTGGAAATCGAATCAGCGGCCTTCTGGTTTGGGGGGTGATGCCCAACGAGTTGAGCCACACAGGCCGGCCAGGGCAGAGCACTGATTCTTAACAACTACAGCAATTCTCTCACTCATGGTCAGGAAAAGATTTATAATGTAAAAAAATAGCAAGAAAGGGGAGAAAACCGAAGTTTTGAGTATATCATATCTAATAAGGTTATGTTTAACATTTCATTTTAATTCGAAGGAAAGAAGAACAAAAGAAATAATGAAAAAGGAAGGAAGGAAAGAAGGGGAGAGAGGGATGGAGGGAGGGAAAGAGAGAGGGGGACAGAGGGCGAGGAGAGAGAGAGAGAGAAAGCCAGCTACATTAGAACCTTCCTATTCCATTGTCCTTAGGGGACATGCCATGAAACTGACTCAAACAGGCTCCTTTGGGGTTTAGTCTAAGATGGATCACATTTATACTGAATTCATATAACAGCAGAAAGACTATAGTGATCCTCGAGATAAAAACAGTTTAGAAAACCAAAATTTAAAATCCATTCACAATCTCAAGTGCTTGCAACTAGTATTCTCTTGAATTACCTTTGAGTCCTTTGCATAATAAAGTGTGCGGCCTCGAAGCTTAAAGTATCGCTTTTTCCACCTTTGGAAAGAACTGGTTTGCTTCAACAGTTGTCCCTCTTTAATACTGGTCTGGAGAGAAGGAGAGACACAATGGCATGATTAAAATGAAGTTCAAAGCCAAATAAAATTCTGAACTAAAGACACACTATCATTAATATTTTGAATATTGTATCCCGTGTCCTATAAATTACATGAGAGAATATTTTCTTCTCCTTTTTTCATTCAACCAAGGGAGCATTATGTGCAAAGACCCAAACAGTAAAGGTAAATTTGACAAGGTTCCCTCACCTCCAAGTAGTCACAAATAGTATGAAAGGCCCATGAACACAAACTAGTACTCATAATACAGTGTGACGCATGCAGTGGTTTGTATATAGTAAGTATTTAATAAATGATGAAAACAGGTTAAGAGGTGTAGTATATGTAATAATTAAAAAAGGCCCAGGTTTTATATCCCCATCACTTTTTATAACTGGAAATCTGTACTTCTTTCATCTTTCTTCCTCATCCCCTGACTATTTCTCCCATCTGACAACCATCATGAATACAGTCAATAATGTGCTAATAACTATGTACAGTGTCAGATAGATACTGGATTTATCAGGGTGATTAACTCATAAGGTATATAAATGTCTAATTATGATGTTGTACACCTGGAACTAATATAATATTGTATGTCAGCTGTAATTTAATAAACTTAAAATAATTTTTTTAAAAAAGAAAAGTATGGGCTCTAGAGCCAAAAATCTTGTGTTTAACTCCTTGTGCCACCACTTAGTAGCTGGATGGTCTTAAACAAATAGCTAAACTTCTTTATACTATTATTTGTTCATCCATAACACGGGATAGCAACTTATAGGGTTGTTGTGAGAAATAAGTTTTAAAAATCTTGGCAAGGACTTATGTACAGCACATAGTAGCACATAGCTTACGATATATGCTCCTGAAGCAAACACATACTCGGTGCACTGCGCATGGCTGTCTATAGAAGGAAGCATCAGCTCTGCTTCAGAATGAGTCAAAGAAGTCCTCCCAGAGGAGGCCCAGGTGGGTCTTGAAGAAGTTTATCAGAATGATAAGGGATGAAGAAGGGTATTTTAGGTGTGTACAAACGTAGAAAGGTTTAAAACAGCATGGATATTTGGGGAATTTTCAAAATGCTTCAGTTTCAAATGCAGGATAGGGTTTACAAGGTGAAGCAGCAGGAGATGAGGCTGGAAGAGGCAAGCAGGGCCTGTGTGACCCTGGGCCAGACCCTGTGCCAAGTGCTTAGGTATCCAACTTCATTTCAACATCACCAACAAAACACTTGGAACTCCTCCAGCTTCCTCTAGTATCTCTCTCCCTCTCCCTCCCTTGGTCTCCTCCGCCCACAATGTTTGCTTTTCGTGGGCATGCATTCTCCTCCCTTAGGTCTGGATACCACCTAGTCCCTCCTCCTGGACTGTTCTCCCCTCAGATACCCACCTGCCCAACTTGTTCACCTCCTTCAAGTCTCTGACTGTTCAGTGAGATCCACCTCACTGCCCTGCTATCTAACACAGCTACGTGTTCTCCGTATCTCCCCCATGTTGGTCTTACTTACTCCCCCACACAGAGTACTTTCCATCTCCTAATGTCTAATATAATTTATGTTAACTGTGCTGCCCTTATTAGACTAGAAGGTCCCTGAGTTTATTACATATAACGAAATTAAGCTTAAGATTTCACATTATTTGGAAGTAAAAAAGAACAGAAGAAAGAGGGAAACTACACTTAAGGCAAAATAAACTTACAGCCTCGCTGTGAGTTTGTCTTTATGGGACAAGTCACAGGACTGACTCAAATAGGCCCCCTTGGGATGGGGTTCAAGATGGATCACACTTACACTGAAGTCATAGAAAAGCAGTAAGGATATACTGAGCCTCCAAGACAAAAACAGCTTATAGAAGCAAAATCTAAATCTTCCCCACTAGACTGCACACTGATATTATCTCAAGTGCCAAGAGCACTATCTAGCACATACAATATTGAGACCTATATGAATTTATAGCAGGTACTAAGATTAAGCCCATATCTATTTGAGTGCAGAGTTTATTCCCAACTTTTATACTACACTGTCTTTTATTATCAACAAGACATATAATATTGAGAAAAGTTTGTTGTCACCAATAAGGTAGTTGAATCATAGTAATGTTTACTTTCAATTTCAATAAAAGATTTTTACTATAACTTGCTCTAAGATCGTCCCCCAGGAATTGCTGAGAGAACACTAAAATTTAATGATAATAAAATACTTTTGAAACTTAAATACCAAAGAGCTTGATTTGGATGCAGACAGGCAAACTTTAAGACGTGCTCTGCCACACACTAACAATAGAACCTGAGCAGGTTACTCCAGCTCTCTGTACCCCAGCATCCTCTCTTAAAATATGGGAGTAGTAATACCAACTTCACAAGTTTGTTGTATCTAATTTAATTACAAGTTACCGCCTGGAGAGCACCTGCACTGTGTGTGTTACAGAAAACATTCAATAAATGGCAGAAAGTGTTGTTATTATGTTATCATTATGCTATTAACTTCAGGGAGTATGTGCCAGGCACCAAACTATTTGAGCTTCTTGGAAGAAGAGAATAAATGTTCAACAGCCACTGTGAGGGCAAATAACAGCTGGAGCAGGTGGAGAGTATGAAGAGATGAAGCTAAAGGAGACAAGAGCTAGGAGCTGCTGGCTTTTTTATTTTAAGTGCAAAAAGCTAGTGAAATGTTTGGAGCAGGAGAGTGGGAATGGCGAAAGGGGTGAGAAAGGAAGTGGGGGACCAGTTAGGAGGCTGCTGCAGTCGTTCAAGGGAGAGATGCTAGGAGCGTGAACTAAGTTCTAGTGCCACTGACAATGGACAAAAGTAGAGCAATTTGTGATGTTATTTTGGAGGCAGAATCTACTGAGCTTTCTCATATGCACGAAGGGCAAGAGACAGAAAAGCACCAAGGAAACACTCAGCATTTGGCTTGGGCAACTAGATGCAAAAGACTGAGAGAGGACAGGATGTTGGAAGAGTTCCATGCGAGCTTCACTGTGGCGCTGCTGCAGCATTTCCTGTTATCTTGGGTAGGGACTATAATTCTTAAATCCAAACACAAAGTATTGAAATGCTGTAAAAATGTAACTTATCCAGAGAACAACTCAGTTGGAGATCTGAATTACAGAAGTGAATGTATTGTGATTTTGGTAAAATTCTGTTGAAGGCAATGAGGAAGAAAATAGAATGTCTGGTCTATTTGTGTTCTGTGAGTACTGTTCTAAGGAAGCATGAACGACCTACTTCATTCTCCACAGGTTATTAAAGTAATTTTCTAAAATAAAAACCTGATTATATTAGACCACAGCTTAAAGCCCTCCATTAGCTCCCTGCTGCCTACAGCATAAAGTCCAAATTTCTCTAGGTACCACAGAAGACCCTGCTTGATGCTCTCCAGACTCATTGTGGCGCCTTCCCATGCTGCTCCCTCTGCCCTAAGTGTTCTCTCCTCCATCTGCCTACCTTAAAAACTCTCATTCATTTCGGCTTGGACCCAGTGCCACAGCCTCTGTGAAGGCTTCTCTGACCCTTGAGGAAGAAGTGACCACTCCCTCCTTCGTCTCCCTGAGCCGCCCTTCTCCTATCTATGTAACAGCACCGCTGACACTGAACGGCATTGATTTACGTATTTGAGGTCCCACCGTGCTGTGGCATTCTTCAGAGCAAAGACTGCAACCTATCTATTTTCATAACATCCACCTAACACATTAGCTGACACCTTAGGATGTTTGCGATGTTTAAAATGAACGACTTGCAGTTAAAGTATAGAATGGTATGTAAGGTATTTTTAAAGAATAAAGGAATTAGAAAACAGGAAATAGTGGCTGGGATTTATTTTATGGTTTCCAGCACTCAGCAGGTCTCAGCCTGCTTCTTCTCCTGTGTGGAAAAACAGCAGACACAATGCACAAGGATCTATGTTCCCCTAGGAACACGCCGTGGGTGAGGGGTAGGAAGAGAGAGGCAGAGGCACAGGAAAATATCTATCCTGATTTTAAGAATATCGCTAATTTAGAGGTGATCCTTGCATAGTCAAACATCAATCATGAAATTGTATTTGATATAATAATGGATCAGAGTTTCTAACTGCTATATATTATTATTTTAATTCTTAGACTATCATCTCATTTACCTGTGAAAACTGGAAAACAATAATTCCACTCGGAGGCCACTGGCACCTCAAAGTTCAGTTAGCCCAAAACTGACGGGTCCATTTCCCCAACGAGCCTGAGCGCCCCAGGGGAACAGGGCCACGCCCCCCTCACTCGTCACTGCAGCCCCACCCTCATCCCAGCTCCCAGCACACAGAAGAGCTCTTGACAACCACCTCTTCACCGCGCAAGCAATAAAGGAAGTGAAGGCTGACATTCAAATAAATCAGTTAAAATGTCTTTGGGGGGAATCTTGAACTCTATATAATCTTAAGAGTCTGGGCAGAAAACTGGACAGTGTTCTGAGAGCTGGACTCAGAGGAGCTTATTTTGTGGCCCTCTCTTCTAATTTACAAAAGTCCCTGCAGGAAACAGAAGCATTTGGTTGTCTGTATTCTGCTTTATTTTTCTCCACTACCATGTCATCATTATTAAGAGAGGCCATCTATCTCGTCAGAATTAATGTTGTATTTGAGTGGTGTACCAAGCAGATATACCTATAAAATGTGTAAATCAACTATTACGTATAATGGATTTCCTGTCTTTTCATACTTTATCCAACAGGTGAACTTACATAATTTGGCTTGAAAGCTGGTCAAACACAAACCACACAGATCCGCATTTGACCCTATCTTCAACACAAGTTTGCACTTTAATATATTGTGTCTCTCTATTATAACGTTGCTTTTTAAAATTAGCTTTTCTGTATATATCTTGTGTGTAATTATAAAATAAAAATTATTTCTCCCTACAAACATGCCAGAACTTTCAGGAATGATTATTGCCCCTCATCTTATGACTTTGAAAGGTAGGCCATTTGATCTCAGTCTGACTCCGTCTCTCAGCCTCTTTCATCAG